CAAGCAGGTGAACCATATCGTCACTTGTTTTGGGCGGCAAAATCTCTCTCCGTCCCTGCATATATTAAACTTGTACTATGCCCGGCAATGGACTGCACACCTAAAGAACTGGACGTCCCATACGCTCTCTGAGAAGCACTGCGCTAATACCCGTTGTCTCTCACAGCACTCCCCCCTCCCTCTACTGGCATTATTCAATGGTTAATCCAGGCGCGGCCGCGAGAGCGAAATAAATGCACCACTTAACATAAGACCAGAATAAGCTGTCCCTTTCTGCCACTCACACTCTGCACACACATACTCCTAGAGCATAGCGAGTAATTTAACGTAGTTTTTTTTTAAATAATACAAAATAATTTTATTTGTAATTTCGGATAGGATTTTTAATCAGTCTTTCTAACGACCCGTCCCCAAAAATTGTAGTCTTAATAATTTTTAAATGTGAATTTATGGAAATGCCCTTCGAGGCAAAGACGTTGACCATCTTGTCATGTCACATAAGGTTCGTTTTCTTAGCGTATCCTCGTAGTAATCGACGATACGGACGTGTAGGTGCAAACAGAACGCAATTTAGAGTTATAACGAATGAGTTATTAATGTTTAAAGTTGGGAGCATTTTAGTAAATTAATTAATATCAAGAAAGCTCCAGATTTTTGGAGCAAAATATGGAAAGCCATGTGGGTGGCCCAGATTAAAAGGAAGAAAAGATGGGCGGTAGAGATGAAAGATAAAGGAGAGAAATGAGGGGCAGGATGCCTATTTAGAAGAGGGTGACCAATGGGTGAGGAGAGAAAGGAGAGAAGGGGAGAAGGAGAGGAACCGGCCAGGTTCCTCTTGACCCGTACCCAACTCGGCTCCTCCACACCTTATGACACTTTTTCAGGCGATTTTTCCGACGAATCGCTGCCATCCATCACCTGGAAAACATTCCATTACCCTCCTCTTCCTTTTTCCACCTAAAATTATAATGAATTTGGTTGTATTTTGGGGAAAACATCCCGAGGGGAACCATGGGTGTCGTGAGGACCCTTGGCCGAGATCCACTAAACCTGAAACGTTTTCATTCAATTAACACCACAAAGTAGACTCTCCATGAACCCATAAACAAAGCTCAATCAACATTGGAGGCGTCGGAGCTTGTTTGGAGTTGAATCAAGAACACCCATTTCAAGGGTTTCCGGCAGATCGAAGTGGATTTCAGGTGTTTTCTGCCCAAATTAGACTTGGCCACAGGTATGAAATTGTTCCCCTTACTGAGATCTACTTTTATGTAGCATTTGGTAAATTTTTAGAAATAGTTGATTTTTCCGGCGAGTCCGGGATGCCAACCGCCACCTGCGGCGACGCCTGCAGGAGCGCGTGGGCCGAGACGTCCCCTAACCTTCCTAGGCTAAAATTGAATACCCTGATTCTATTGGTGAAATCCGATTGACGAATTTCCATCGTTTGATGTAGTTCCATTAAGGTTCGCTTGATTATTATAGCAATCAATGATCCAACCGTTGGATCGTCACTAAACTTTGATATATTATAGTACATAATATTTAAGGATATTAGAAACTTACGGATCAGGAATCCGACCCACGGATCTTCCCGATAGGATATGTAAGTTATATGTTCTATTGATAAGAATTCTAAGGCATGATTTGATAATTGTTTTAGGCGCTGATCGTTCGTCATGCCTTGATGTTTGTGCTAGGGAGTTGTAGCGCAAACTCCAATGAGTGGGCTTTTGGTTTTCTATATATATGTATATATGTTTTCTATTTTCCCAAAAATTGTTTTAAATGGATTTGCATTTTTAAATACTATGTCAATTGCATTACATTTTAGTATATGCATTAGTATAGATATGCATATTATTTCATGATGCTGCCGACACCCAGGTAAGCTTCAGGTGAGTACATATTGATGATAGTGATCACACTCAGTATGGTTATGTTTAGATGCATTTAGTGCTCATTATCCTGCACCCCGGTGTTAATGCTCCGCCCGAGGCCAAGGTCAGCCTTCACGTGATCGTTCACCTCCCACACTGTACGCTCACCTTGACTCCAAGGCAGGTGCCAGCCTGTTATACAGACCACATTAGGTGGTTCCGACTCGTAGGTGACTTGCGATACTTCGCACAACCTTCACGTGATTGTAACGCGTATTTTTTTACACTCAGTTTGTCGTACATACCACATTAGGTGGTTTCGACTCATGTGCAGGAATTGGTTAATGAGCTATAGGTTCAGCCGTACAGATCACGTTAGGTGACTCTGGCTAGCATATCATTTTACATTGATTTATTTCACATGGCTTACTTATTTTATTGTTGAGGTACTTGACATGGTATATACTCGGTTTTCACTACTCTCGAGCATGATTTATATATACGTATGTATTATTATTTTTTGAGAAATTATACGGGTGTTTATTAAAAACTTTATTTTCAGGCCCACTCACCCTTATTTTTGTGCCCCTCTAGGTTTTAGCTGCTGAAAGTTCGTATCAACAAGGATTCTTGGCAAATCTCAGTATATGTGGCTACCTCTAAAGGTATGATTCTTACCCACACTACCGTACTTTACTTATGATCTGACGTCGCGTGTGAAATGGGTTCATTCCCACTCATAGTGCACTCCTGTCTTTAGGTACTTTAGGTGTAAATTTATTCATATTTTTCTCATCACTATACTTTATGGCATCATCACCTTCCAGGTGTCGGCCAGCACAGCTCGATTCGGAATCCTAATGGACATTTCAGATCGAGGTGTGTCAGTCTCGTTGTACCACTTTCTATTAAAAAATTAATTAATTAAATATTAGAAAAACAAAATACCAAAAAAAACCACCCACACCCAAATCCCTCCCCCCGGCAGAAACTTCCCATCAACCCATGTCCACTCCCTCCGCCCCAACGCACCCAAACCTTCCTTCACCACCCCACTGCCGCCTCTCTTCCTCCATCTTCACCATCCTACCCAGCTCAGCCTCCATCAACGGTCTCGATCTTCCTCGCTCCCTAACCAAACTCTCTATCTCTTTTTCTCTCTCCTCTTTCCCCCCAAAAACAAATCCCAAATCGTGCGATCTGGGCGCGCGAGTGGAATAAGGGGGATCGCGAGTGCGTGGGAGCGAAGGAGGTGTGGGGTGTGGCGGCAGCTGCGACAGAGGAGGGACTGGATCTCTCCCATTTGTCTGTGGGTGTATCATCAGCCTCGACGACGAACTCCGACGAGAGTCGTTGAGTTCGAAGCCTGCTGGGTTTTACATTTTTTTATTAATTTTTTACATTATTTATTAATTTTTTAAATTTTTTATTAATTTTATATTGTGGCTGACGTCGCCCTCACATGAGTGTGTTTTCATTTTCCGTCCCTCAAATAAGGTTATTTGACGTGTTCCTCAACCACTCCACATTCAAAGGGATTCCTAACATGAATTGCAGTATGTAATTGATTCAATTATGGAATCGTGAATAATCATCGGTTCGGTCGGTACATAATAATTTATACTTTTTTCTTCTATATGAAGAATGGCTAATGTATGACGAAGTCTTAACAAGAATTCAATCAATTTAAACCCCATTATTTATAATTTTTTTTTTTAATTATAACTAACATAACATGAATAAATAAGCACAAATAAACAAGTCATTTTGAATCTCTATCTTCAAGTAACGTGATAGGATAAATACAACAATTTCACACTTCTTAGAGTACCAAGAACTCATAAGAAATCATTAAAAAGATTTAATTGACTGATTTTTTATTTTATTTTATCAACTTCAATCTATTTGGCATAGTGAACCTTATTGTTCTTATTAATATTTTATGTGATTTTTAACACCCCCGCCCCTTCCTCCCTCTTCTCTTTTGGAGTCTAATTTAGAGAAAAAATAGATAGAGAATAGTAAGGGAACAATTGATTTTGAACAACAGATGTCTTTCACATCCAACCAAAAATCCTATTATAACTTTTTAATGGCAGTTCCAAAAAAAAAACGCACCTCTATTTAAAAAAAAAAACGTATTTGTAAAAATATATGGAAATGGAAGGGATATAGGGTACCATTGAAAGCTTTTTCGTTAGCGAAATCTCTTTCTACCAAGATTCTAAAAGTTTTTTGTTTTTCTTTTTGTGTAACAAATAAATAATCTGAATCGTTTTAATAACCAATAAAGTGATATAATTTGTTTATAGTTTATGTATAAGATTTATAAGTTATAAAAAGATGAATCGTTCTAATAACTATTTCTTTTTCAGTTTCATGTTTTGCTGTAGATAGAGGAATAGTATGTGAGAGCAACGATGGTAGAAGAAATGTGAAAATAATTCGTGTGAAAAAGACTCAAAACCGAAAACTGAAAACGAAGAAAAAGAAAGAAACAGAAACAGAAATTGTCGCAGCCAACTCATAGTGACCCATACCCCTCTGCTCATGACAGATTCTTAACTCTTCTGCAGAAAAATGGCTGAAAGTCTTGCCTTCCAGCCTTTCTCTTCAATTTCAAAACTTCAATTTCTCCACCTGCCCCCCTTAATTATATGTTCTCTACATACCAGAAACCAAACCATATTCTGATACTAATTTATTTTCATTTATTCTGACCAATCAGATTTAAAAAGAAATGGAGAGAATGAATCCCCCTTCTCAAATTAGGAGAAAGGGAAAATTCACATGGTGTGTGTTGAGAAATTCTATCACGCCTTTCCCATGACCTCTTCAAATGTGATGTAAATAGAAAAAGAAAAAGCGGGACTTCACCGGCATCCCCCACATGCCACATCTACCAAGCACTCAAGTTGCTTCACCAAAACTAACACCATCCTTTTATTTTCCCTTGCCATTCAAGACATGAAAAGAAATCAACTACTTACTTTTTTTCAATCGGCAACTATTGTCCGTGAGATTTGAACTCAGAGCCTCCTGCAAGGCGGAGACTGCAGACTGCATGCTGCTAGACCGGTCATGTGGGAATTTCACAACTTGCTTAAGGAGAAAATCGAGTAACCAACATCGTCCACAGGATCAGCCGGTCATAATAAATCCATGACATAATCCAAATGGTTAGAAAAGAGAGGGCACAAGTAAATGAATCTAATTTTTTATCTGCAAGCACATGAATGAGGTGACCATATCACCAACCAACCAACAAATGCTGTTCACTTTAGATAAAGGACATAAGGTAAAGAATCCTTGTTAAATACCAAAGGCAAAACACCAGATGTTCCAAAAGCAAAGCAATTTCCTCACCAGTACAGAATCCAAAGCCACCTCTCGTCATCTGCAAGCCACCCCTTCAACTCCAACAGAACCGAACATGTCTAAATCCGGCACTGTTGCCACCAGAGACGCTGCAAAGATGGCGGCATGTGCTCCTGCAGAAATAGGCACCAGAGGCACCGTTGGATCCCTCATAATGAGAGAAATCGAGCACTTCAGCCAACTCAAACTAAGCAACCGATGTAGCTTGAAAAGGCTCATCCCCAACTCAAAGACATGGCTTCCTCTACTAGTCATTTGGGCCGGACTTTTGAATCAGTTATAAAAACACAAAAGAAGAAAAAGAGATGCAACGGGCTCCTACCAAGCATATGTTCTATGGTGGAAGTCTCAGAGAACAATCGACCAACTGGTATTTCTGCATATAGTTACAGGAATCTAAGATCCGATGGGAAGAAATTGCCAGGTTAGACAATGCTCTCAGATAGCTTTGAGAAACCCAGCTTCTTCAGTCGGTTTGTTATAGGGCCAGCCCATGCTCTATCCGAGCTCCCACATTTTATGTCCACAACTTCAACAATGTTAGTTCCTTTTTTACTAGTTTTCTGCCTACTAGGAGTTTTATCCAGACCAGGATGATCAGAGCTCAGCATCGGGATTTGACTAGTATTTTTAGTATGAGTTTTTGTTTTCTGGGAAACTTCAGGGTGTCTCGCATTAATGTCATTGCTGCTTCCACTGCTGCTAGCTTCATCGCATGACTTTCTTGGTTGTAGCCTTTTTGGAGTAGTAGCACCACAGAGAACAGAAACAGAAGCTGTTTGATGTTTATTTCTGGAAGATGCAGGCGTCGGAGATGCAACTTTGCTGGACTCTAATTCTCTTGTCATTAGGGAACTGACTGTCCCAGTGGTCCCGATCCTGATGGAGCCTCCACCACCCTTTATAGCTTCCAGCGTCTGAACCATGTTTCTTCTCGTCTTAATCAAAGGTTTGAGCAGACACCTTGTGACAGGGAATTTCTCAGCGAACAGATTCTTGTAGAGGGAGACGTTACAACCAACTCAGTTCAAGAGCCGTTCCTGCAACAGCATCAGCCAATGCGGTTCTGGATATGAATGGTGTATTTGAACAGTAATGTAGCTCTAAATTAGATTGCAAGTAGAGTTTCCCAACAAATTTACGGTCAATTTTTAGAAGTCGAAATCTGTGATATTTTAGAAACTCATTCAACTGCAAAATGACAATACATAAACCTCAATTTCAGTAGCATAAGTGGATAAGGCAGGGTACATAAACCTCATTTTCAGAAGCATGAGTGGATAAGGCAGGGTATTGAGTGGTACGAGTGAGATCACTACCTATGCATTTTCGAGTAATTCCAACCCGAAAAGTAGTTAAAATCTCGCCGTTAGTTGATCTCATACAGAAGGAAATCAACCAAGTTTTGGCAAAATCTGAAGATCTTCGAAATTGCAATTTTTTAAGTCACAAAACCCAAATTACAGATTATGCAGTAAATCTCACTTCCCTCAATTTCATTTATTTGCTCCAATTGCAATCAAGAAATCCAACACATCCTAAAAGATCAAGTAAGTCCTTAATTAGCATCAACAACGTGATATTAAGATCCATCAAAACCCCCATTAATTCAACTTAATGCAAAGATTAAGCATAAACAGTCAAATCTCACAAACTAATCCAAAAGGCATTGAGTAATGATCAAACATTAAGATCCACAATCAAGTACCCAAAGTGAAAACAATTATCAGATAATCAGATGATAAGAAATTAATAGCAATTAGGTTAAAAACTTACCCAGAATTAAGCAAGTGGAAATTGAGCTGACAGTGAATCCGGACCCAGCGAAGAATCAATCAATTGAGGTTATCGGTTATACCCATGTGAAAGAACCTTCTGAAAGCGAGAAATCAAAGAGTTTTATGAAGTTATGTTGAACACATGGATCATAACTCAACCTTTAAAAAAGGTACTGAATCCCACTTCAACGCATTTTTCCGTTCTTATTTGAACGAGCCAGACAGTCAACGCAAATCCAAACCAGTAGATCCCACACAAATAATTGGTATGAATACGGCCTTTTTCTTAATTTTTAATTCTTTCAATGGTGAATAGTTATGTTTACTCTCTTTTTTCTTAGGTTTTATTTTTATCGTAAATCATTTATGAATTTACACCGCAAACTATTTTTCTAACCAAAAAAAAAAAAACAATTAAACTAAAACAAAAACTAACAAAATTAAAACAAAAACTAATAGGTTGCTATCATCGAAACCCATTCTGCACTCTATATTTCATATTTTACGATGAGTACATAATAAAATTTTAAAGTATTAATGACGGTGACACCATTTAATTGAAAAGGGAAAGACTTCATTGTCTTAATCTGAGTGATTACTCAAAAACTTTTTTTACGAGTTAGACCATTTCTAAATAATATGTCAAATCTTAAGTGGAATGTTATGTAATTAAATTTGAAAATAGAAAAAAGCTTCAACATATATGTCAATCTTACATGGATTGACATATGAGCCCTTTGCTGTCAAATTTGACATATTAAAATTCCAGCAGATATGTCAATTCTTTAAATATTTTATTGTGTGAGTCATATTAATGCACCAATTATAAATCTTGAAAAAACATTTAGACTAAAAATGGGTCATACAAATTTCATTTATAACAAAAAAACATGTGAGTTGGAGAAAGCAAAAATTTGACATTGCTACATCAGCCATCAAATTAACATTTGTCATCTCCATTGAAGATGCTCTTATAATTTTTTATTTTTTTAATTATTAGTTCTACAAGTAGTTTTAAATTTTTGAAAAAAAAATTTGCTTTTTAGGGTTAATTCACGTGGTGTGATATGAGTTGGTTGGGAGAATCTATTCTTGTGCCACACTTCACACTAATAGAAAGTTTAATAAAGTTTTGACGGAAGCAACAAATAGACCACCACAATAGAAGCGATAAAGTTTTTCATCCGCTAATTATCCTATAAACCTTATCGTGACCTTCCACCATTTCTTGTACTCACGTTAGTACTATTGTATTTATTTATGTATTATTGTGTAATTTTCGTTTTGCATAGCAAGTATATTTTGATTAAATAAAATATTAAAATTAATGTTTTTTTTTTTTCTTTCTGAATTGTTCTCCAACAGGTGGAGTAGAAAGGGAAATTGCAGGTACTGGAGGAACAATAGTTGTCCTTGTCATCCTTTCCAACTTGCTCGCCATACTCTCTAAATAGTTGAAATACTTCTCCGCTGTAATTCCATTAGCTCACCTTAACTTGAACTTTTCAAAGCCCTCTCTCAGTTTAGCAACCAAGCTTTCAAGATGTACAACTTCACCTTCTTCATTCCTTGCTATAAAGAAGGAAGTAAGATTTCCCAAAACGTTGTCTCCCATGGGCGGAAGCAATATTCTCCGCAGGTTTATAGCTTGATTCCACGCGGATGGCCTTTCGGAACCCTTGTTTGATCTCGATGCTTGCATTTTGCATTTCCAACCGAGCGCTGACACAACTTCAGCTCTGGTAGGATTTGGCACCGCGGTACTGGCAGCCTAGAAACTTGAGAGAAGCAATCTTTGGAGCTATCAAACACTAATCTCCATTTTACAACATTAACAAAGACAAAATTTATTGGAGCTCGATCAACCGGTGAGTTGAGGAAATCAAGAGGTGGGAAACGTGACGCTGTAGCACCTATGTCGACAGTGACGACCATGGAGCCAAGGGCAATAGCAGCCCAGCGACGAATGAATTTACCGAGTGTGGATCCATCAGCGTCCTTACGTGAAATTGCTGATACCAATTGTGGAATATTCCATTTGGAAGCAATTTATTTTGCAGTTTGCAGCCTAATATCCGGCTGGTCCAAGATCTGATATGGGACAATCGACTTCGGCTTCAACAAATAAAGCCCCCTGGCTTCAACATACAGGAAATGTACATGAATTCACCGGCAAAGATGTAGAAGCGAGTGAGGGCTTCGGATAATGATGTCTTTAGAGCATCTCCAGTGAGGGTTTTATCCTCAATGAAGCTACTATATTTCAATTCATAGCGAGAAATTTCATCCCTGATGAGCTGAAAAACGAGGCTAAATCCACCACTAGGGCTAATAATTTCCTTTATTGGGTAGCATAAAATTGGGCTACATCTAGCCCCAAAAAACAGTGGATCCTACAAAAAGAATTCTAAAATGAGCAAAATTCTATCACTCTGTTTCCGCTTGCGAATACACTTACACTCTCATTTTAATCTTTTTTTAATTATTTTTCCTACTTATTTTTCTTACAATTTGGCTAATTAAGGATTGTTTTAAATTCCATAAGAATTAAAATTTCAAATTGATTTAACGTTCTTGGTGTCACGGGCCGCATGTTAAAAACAAAGAAAATGCCCAAGACATCATATATCTAAGCCCATGAAGCCATGTCTTCATGGAAGCTTCTGGAACGTCCCGGAGAAATCAAGAACGTGGCGGAGTATTCAAGATAATTTAGGGCATTCCGGAACATTCCACACAAGTGTACATATTTAAGCCTCACCTAGAATAATCTAGATTAGGCAAGTTGTATCTAGAATTATGCTAGATATTTTTTGGATGTAAGTAGGGGATTCTAGAACCCTCCATTGAGGAGGTGACTTAGGCCTATAAATAGGAGGTAAGGCCATTTGGCCAAACCATCCAAGAATTGCAAGCAATTGTAAAGTTCTCTTAACTTTCAATACAAAGCTTCCTTTCTCCCATCTTCTAAGTGATCTTAGCATTCTCCAAGTTATCTTAGCTTTCTTTGTGATTCGATCCGGGGAAGCGAGGCTTCGAAGGCTTACTTAGCTTGTTCGTCGAGGTATTCAAGTCTAAGTGTCGCACGGGCGGAAGGCTTAAAGAGTCATCCCGTGACAGCTGGTATCAGAGCCAAGCTCGTGAATCACTTGAAGGAAAGTAGGATATGGCAAGTGGAGAGATGGTGTCCGGAGTCTCCGATCTAAGGGAGCGTACTGCCGAGGTCCAAGACGTTGCCAAGAGCAAGCCAAAGTTAAAGGACTTGCAAGCATCGATGGAGACCATGGAAGAGCGACTCGAGAAGGTGGAACGAACCATACTCGAGTTCGATACTCGACTTGATGAGGATGTTGTCGACAAGGAGGAAATCCAAACCATGGTGGACAATGGTAAGGATGAATTGCGTGGCTTGGTGGAAGGGCTACGAGATGAGCTCCTTGGCGCTCTCAACACCATGGCAGACAAGATGCGGAGGGAAGTCCAGGTTCACCTTGACAACATAGAGGCAAGGCTTGTGGCGCTTCAAGAAGAGATAAAGGACACAAGGGAACTTAAGGGAGATGTGGCGTTTTGTAAAGAAGCAGTTGTGAAGCAATTCGTGCAAGGGCCGAGGGAAATCAAGGCGTTGGACTCCAAGGTAATCGACTCCTTTAAACCCAAATCCTATAATGGGAAGAGGGAAGCAAAGGAGCTCGACACATTCGTGTGGAACGTGGAGCGATACTTCAAGTACCTGAAGCTTGAAGATGACGAGTCCAAAATCTCGACGGCAACCATGTTCTTAGCCGACAATGCCCTTATGTGGTGGCGTCGTCGGAGCATGGAGATTGAGCAAGGTACGTTCTCCCTCACCACTTGGGATGAATTTAAGAAAAGATCTTATGTTGCACTTCTATCCCCAAAATGCCAAGTATGAAGCCAAGGAGAAACTAAGGTGGCTCAAGCAAACGGGGAGCGTCAAAGACTATGTCAACGCCTTCGTGAGCTTGTTATTCGAGGTGCCTAACATGTTAGAGGAAGACAAGCTCATGTACTTCATGAGTGGACTGCAAAATTGGGCAAAACTCGAACTACAAAGGAGACACGTGCAAACATTGTCTGATGCCATTGCCGCTGCCGAATCCTTGATTGAGTTTAAATCAAGCCACCAAGGTGATTCCAAGTCCACGGGGAAGAGGGGTAACCATGAGAGAAGTGGGGGAGAACATAAACCGAAGGATAAGGCCGAGACAAGCAAACCGAAGGAGAAGAAAGCCGATAAGCATGACAAAGGCAAGGGTAAGTCTTGGCAACCCAACTGTTACCTATGCGACGGCCCTCACATGATGCGAGATTGCCCACAAAAGAAGGCCCTTAAGGCCATGGCCTTCAAGGAGGACAAGGCCGAGGAAAGTAATGATGCAACGATGGGATGCATCCGTCTACTGAATGCCATCCAGACAACCCTCCCACAACCTAAGGCTCAAGTTGGGGGAGGATCATTGTTCGTCGACGTCAAGACTGGTGACAAGACGACGCGTGTGTTGGTGGACACGGGAGCAACACACAACTTCATGACGTCGGAGGAAGCCACAAGGCTTGGCCTCCGAGTCACAAAGGAGCCTGGTAGCGTGAAGACGGTAAATTCCGCTGCCACCCCCATTGTTGGAGTTGCGCGCAATGTACAAGTAGGCATTGGCGCATGGAAGGGAAATATCGACTTCACCGTAGTCAAGATGGACGACTATGGCGTAGTCATTGGGTTAGAGTTCATGGACAAGGTACGAGCCTTTCCCATTCCCTTCTACAATATCTTCTGTATCCTAGCCGACGGAAGACAACCTTGCCTGGTGCCATTGGAAAGGCAAGCCAAGAAGTGTACCCAGCACTTGTCGGCAATTCAATTTGCCAAGTCTTGGAAGAAAGGCGAGGCCACATTTCTTGCAACCCTAATGTTGAATGAAGGGGAGGAGAAGCACGGGCCTTTGCCGAAACAAGTGGAAGACGTCCTTATGGAGTTTGCGGACGTGATGCCTAAGGAACTTCCAAAGAAGTTGCCACCAAGGAGAGAGGTCGACCATGCGATTGAGTTGGAGCCTGGTGCTAAGCCTCCCTCCAAATCACCTTATAGGATGTCGCCACCCGAGTTGGAGGAATTGAGGAAGCAACTCAACGAGCTACTTGATGCTGGCTACATCCAACCCTCCAAGTCCCCATATGGTGCACCTGTCTTGTTCCAACGCAAGAAAGAAGGTAGCCTAAGGTTGTGCATCGACTATAGAGCATTGAACAAGATTACCAT